TTTCGAGACAGGGTTTCTCTGTGGCTTTGGAGCCTGTCCTGGAACTAGCTCTTGTAGACCAGGCTGGTCTCGAACTCACAGAGATCCGCCTGCCTCTGCCTCCTGAGTGCTGGGATTAAAGGCGTGTGCCACCACCGCCCAGCTACAGAGTGATTTCTAGGATAGGCTCCAAAGCTACACAGAGAAACCCTGTCTCGAAAAACAAAACAAAAAACCAAAAAAATAAAATAAAAGGACTTTATTTATTATGTATACAGTGTTCTGCCTGCATGTATGCCTGTAGGCCAGAAGAGGGCATTAGATCTCATTACAGATGGTTGTGAGCCACCTTGTGGGTGTCAGGAATTGAACTCAGGATCTCTGGAAGAACAGCCAGTGTGCTCTTAACCTATGAGCCATCTTTTCAGCCCCTAAATTCAGCTTTTTATATGTGGGTTCCGGCCATCAAACTTGAGTTCTCATTCTTACGTGATAAGCAGTTTTGTAGAATGAATTATCTCCCCAGCTCTTCTCTCCCCTCCCTACGTTATTTGTAGCTAGTGATGATGTCGTCAGGTTAATGACAATGACGTTGTCACTATGTACTATCCGATGCACTGTTTGCAGGGCTCTGTGGCAGGCACCCATGCTACCACACCCTTGCAGTCTGGTGCATTAACTTTCCCAGGGGAGATATGAGCACATGCCTGCCCACCGAAGGCAGGGCACCAGCAGCAAACCTAAGAAACCAGCTTAGTGAACCAGTGAGTTTAGTTAGGTCAGCCAAGAGGCCAACAGGAATGCAGGCAGCTTCAGGACCAAAGAAAAGTGCCCTCTGCACCAAACATCCATTAATGGCTGACATATCCCCAGGGAGGGGAAAGACCTTGCACAGGACCTCCCGAGGAGTGCTCTCTCCCTCTGTGAGGGAAAGTTAATGGGCTGGAGCCTGTGCAGGTAATCACTGGCCAATGTTAAGGCTGCAGCAGCCTTGCTAAGTCTGGATGACTTACAGATAAGATGGTGGCTCTAGGGAGGGCCAGCCTTTGCCCAAAGCCTTACTGCCCCTTCCTCAACTCTCTCGTCCTTTGGGAAGTCCCATCCGAGCACCGCTGATCACTTCTCTGTGGATGGCTCCTGCCCCTCCCCTTGGATGGGAGTCCACTTTTTCCAACACATGAATGATACCCTCAGCATGACCAAAACACGCAACTATTCTTTTGCTAACGTGTTTCCAAAGCTTCCCATTTGGTGCTACTGAATTTTCACAATTATTCTGTAACGCTGCTATTCCTTTCCATGTGCAGCACAGTTTCTCCTCCGTCCCAGGGAAAGGAAATCACACACACACAAAATGACATAGATTTTGTATGTAAACCTCTTTTTTTTTTTTTTTTTTTTTTTTTTTTTTTCGAGACAGGGTTTCTCTGCGGCTTTGGAGCCTGTCCTGGAACTAGCTCTGTAGACCAGGCTGGTCTCGAACTCACAGAGATCCGCCTGCCTCTGCCTCCCGAGTGCTGGGATTAAAGGCGTGCGCCACCAACGCCCGGCTGTAAACCTCTTTTGTATTTCAAATATCTCTATACTAGTTAGTACGTAAATGGTATATAAATAATTGTTGTTCTGTTATTTAGGAAGTAATAAAGATAGCCAATATATTCAGTACTGATTTCCTTTTTCAACCATTGTTTCTATTTTTTGTTTGGTGGTGTTTCTGTTTTGTTTGTTTTTGGAGACAGTCTCATTATGCAGTCCTGGCTGTTCAGGGACTTGCTATGGAGGCCAAGCTGGCCTCACTTCACAGAGATCTGCCTGCCTTTGCTTCCCAAGTGCTGAGACTAAAAACCTGCCCCATTCAACTATTTCTGAAGGGTGTGCTAGTACACATGGACACTCCCAACCTGGAGGATGGAGAGTTCCAGGCCAGCCTGGGTATGTAGTGTTTAAGGTCAGTAAGGACGTAAGTCAGTACCATGAGATGTCTCAAAAATCCCAAAGTAACATTTCCCTTACTGTCCTGAGGGACTGAGTCTGTGGATAAAAAATCTTTAGATAAGGAGGCACAGATGACTGAAGTCAGACTTGAGAGTTCCATGTGTGTTTCAAGTTCACACAGCTCGTACAGGGTGGGCTGATCCTGAATGCAAATCTTACAGTAATACCTTGGCTCCCTTCAGGCTGAACTCTCCCCTTGCTTGCTTGTCTTGATATCTGCTGTAGTCCTTCTCTGGCCGGGGCTGTAGTTCAGTGGTACAACACTTAGGTAGCCAAGACTCAAACTGTCTTCTGCAAGAGCAGCAAGCACTTTTTACCACTGAGCTACTTCAAGTTTTTAAACTGTGTTTCTGTTTCCAGAAGGCGTTGGGTCCCCAGGGGGCTAGAGTTACAGGTAGTTGCTGTACTTGGATCTTCTGCAAGAGTAGTACACCGGGCTTTTAACTACTGAAGCATCTTTCCAGCCCCTCCTTTTTTGGGGGGAGGCGCTGAGGCAGGGTGTCATCATGTAGCCCTGGCTGTCCTGGACCTCACTCTATAGACCAGGCTATCCTGGAGCTCACAGAGATCTGCCTGCTCCGCCTGAAGATTTGCAGCACAGTAGTAATTGGTCTGCACAACTTTCCTGCTCAGCCTCACAAGTGCAGGAAATGCATGTGTGCATCACACCCTTAATTAAACCTTTAATCCATCCTCGATATAAAAAAACTCAAGTAGAGTCAGGCAGTGGTGGCACAAGTCTTTAATCTCACCACTTGGAAGGCAGGAGCAAGCCATCTCTTGTAAATTTGAGGCCAGCTTGGTCTACAATGTGAGTTCCAGGACAACCAGAGCTGTTACACAGAAAAACCCTGTTTTGAAAAACAAACAAAATTCAAGTAGAGAGATAGGAAGCCAAAAGTGTCCTGAATGCTTCAGAATTTGCCACCTCTGGACCAGCAGGAGGGCTTTTCACTACCAAGTCTGAGCCCCAGAACTCACAGGAGGATACTTCTGACTTCCCTGTGTGTGCTGTGTTCATGCACACACCACACTAAAAGTATTGCTTTTAAAAGAATTTACCACTTCCCTAGAGACTGCATCTGTGTACTGGTCAGCAGCTCACTACAGACATTTGAGGTGTGCCTGGGTCTTCCTTAGCCCAAAACAGGCATTCATAAATAACTGGCAAAAAGAATCCATTTACAATCTCTTAAGCTTCACAATTTTAGGTCCAGACTTCTGCCCCAGAGGGAAGACCAAACCCCCTCTTCTCCCACCTTCATTAATGAACAAGAAGACATCTACCTCTTTCTTGGTCTGCGGGGGATCTGGTTTGTATTTTAGCAGGGTCTTAGAAGGAAATGGCTTTCTCTAAACTGCAGCCGCCCAACCCAGCAGTGGCATTCCTAGACCTCGGGTAAACAGGAAGCTTCCTGCCTTGGGCCCTTCATGTTCCTCTCAGACTATTACAGACTGTTAATAGGCCGGTAAAACGACAGCTGCTGGCCATAAAGTCAGCCCATTCCTTAGAACCCCAGCAACCAGCCCTCCCAGGTCAGTGAGACCACGCCCTCCTCCAGGTGCTGCTCGCCTAGCAGGGGTCCTCAGGTGTAGGGTTTCTGGGGTGGTGAGGTCTAGAGACAAAACAACGAGAACACAGCCGCTCTGTGGGAGGTGAGTTGCCTCTCCCAGGAGGGGGACAGTCGCTTCTAGTTAGTCCCCAAGAGGAGACAAAAGTGAAGCAGACACCAAAGGATCCAGTGAGTGCTCCGGCTAACTGGGACCCCAGATCCACCCACAGTAATTTTGGGAGGAGGGAGGAGTCCTAGGATTTGCAGCTGCGGGTGAAGAGGCGCAGTCTTTGCCAGCTGGAGGGACACTAGGGCAGAGGTGATTGTCCTTTGCCAAGAAGGGCACTCGGTGTCTTGGCAGAAGGCAGAGGGCTGCCCCAATCTGTGTGTACATTTTCAGTAGCATTTGACTCTGGACCAAACGCTTGGCTGTGCTAGTGCCGTGGTGATGGGTGGGAATGCTCGTTGGCCAGGCTGGCTGGAGGCTCCCACGGAGGGTGCTGGGCCTCAGCCAGGAGCTTCCCTTCAGCTGGCAAGTTGAGCTTTCTGTCACGGTTGGAGGGAGTGTGTCCAAATTCCAACTCTCAGCTTTCCAGAAGCTACTGCGTATTGCCATCTGTTTTGAGGAAGGCTGCTTATTGGAATTTCTGGCTCAGTGGGAAGAAGGATCATGATACAGAGCCAAACTCACCTGGCTCAAGACAGGAACAGGCACTGCTGGGCAGGGCCAGCGTTCTCTAAAGGCACTTCCTGCCTTGGCATCCTGGGGTGCTGGGAAAGGTGAGAGCCATCCCCCTCATCAGTGACATTACTATTAGTAACCAAAAGAGCCAGGCAGCAGGCACATGACCCCCTTGGACTTGGCTACAATGATCCCCATCAGGGCTGTGGTATTAGTGCCTACCAAACAAGCAGGAGCTTTTGAGGAAGGAAAGAGTGGGTGTCATTACTCCCCATGGCAGCTCCTACTCAGGGCTCTTCCCAGGGGTGGTGGAGGGGCTCTAATTGATCAAAGGAAACGGAGGACTTTCCACTAGGGTCACATTTGAGCCTCCAGGTGTTCAGATTGGGATCTGTTTAAGGTAACCTCAAGATTTATGGCCTAAAGACCTAAAGCATACCGCAGGGAACCAGGACATTCCTTAGTTTCAGAGCAGGTAAGAAGCTCTGGAAGTAGTTTAGGATGACATAGTAGGAACATGAAGATAAGGATCCAGGGTTCGGATCCTGTGCTCTGCTCCAAATCATTTATTATCGAAATTAGGGCCTCACATGCTTTATTACTGAGTTTTAGCCAAGCCCCTACAATTTATAAAAAGTATCTTAGCAGAGCCTTGGCACACACCTTTAGTACCAGCACTCAGGAGGCAGACAGGTGGATCTCAGACCAGCCTGAGCTACATGCACAGGGGGACCCTGTCTCAACTCCCATGATCTGCCCCTCTCCCCGAATAAAAGGTAATTCATTGCAAATACAAGTTTTTAAATTTTCATAGTGAGTAGGATTTTTTACATAAATGCACACATCATAAAGAAAACATCAGAAAGGTCTCACTTAGAGCAGGTGGTTCCTTTTTCCTTTGCTGTACTGTCCCCACCATCTTGGGGGGACCACGCTGTTGCCTAGAGCTTTGATCAAACATTTAAATTTACACACAGGCAGCCAGATGTAGGTAGAGTTAGAGGCCAGCCTGGTGCAAGTTCCTGGACAGCTAGGTCTACAGAGAAACCCTGTCCCAAAAAACAATAACAAAAACCTTCCACATGGGTCAGTAGGAGGTTAAGATTATTTGATACTGTTGACCTGGGAGATTCGAGGCGGCTCCACTCAGCAGAGAAAATGTTCCTTCTCTAAACTTGTTCCACCCTGGACAAGAAGGGGCTGGCTGCTGTGCTCACATTCTCCATTCTGGCCAGGGTAGATCCTAATGGACATGCGCTAGGGTGTGCAGGCAGTCCAGCCAGTGTGTTTGGAAGCTTCCAGCTTGTCCCTCGAGACTCCAGGTCAAGTCCAAGGCAGGAAGTTGCAATGGAGGAGTAGTCCCAGGAGCCAGTAAGTCAGGAAATAGCCTAGGATGCATCTTGTGACTGGAGAACAAGCCTTCCAGTTGTACAAGAGTTTCAGGATACAGTTTCTGGGGGCCTTTATTCCTGGTGGGGCGTTTTCCTCAGGTACTGTGTCCACAGATCTCAACAGTGGCTCTTGATTCTGAAGCAAGTGAGCTGGAAACCAGTACACAATAGGAGTGGAAGAGCCCAAAAATCGTGTGAGAACCTAAAAAAAAAAAAGACCATACTGATTGGAGCATCAGCGATGTGACTGGGTAAATCATGCATGACAAGCAGGAAAGCAAATTCAGTAAAGCTGCAGATCTTCCTGAAAGGATGGTGTACCACCACCCAACCTTGAGTTACCAGTAATCAGTCTCAAACCAATTACCACAATAACGGGCCAACCAACACTAAAATCTCTATAGTGTCTGATTTTAGTCCACAACCTCTGAATTTTAGTCTGTTGGAGGCTGAGGGCAGAGGGAAGCAACAGGTCCTGGTTCATCTTTCCCCATCTCACAGTTCTGAGCCAATCTCCAAGGGCTCTCACCTACCTTGCAGACTCTGAGCTAGCCTGGCACTCACTGAAAAGCTGATCCAGTCACAGACCCAGACGGCTATTTTTTACTTTCCCTAACCACATGGCTCAAATAACATCACAAACTGTCAATATTTGCCTGTGAACGAAGGACAAGACTTACTTGGAGACAGCCAAGAACTTTAAAATTGGACATAAGATCAAACCCCTGATCCTATACTGACACCACCACCAAACACTGGACAAGAAGTTTATTGCCTGTGCTCAAGACACCCTAAAAGACCGCCATGGCAGTCTGTGTCCTGGGGAAAGGCTCAAGAGAAGCTGTGTCTACTCCTACATTCCAGCTGAACCAAGCTCTCACAGAGCCTTCACACCTCTGCTCATGCCCAACCCCCCCCACACACCCATCCCCCACAGCTGCCTGGGATGTTTGCTGCTTCTTTGTTTTGTAGATAGGATTTCCAGTAGTGCAGGTGACCTCAAACTAGTACCTGAGGGTGGCCTTGAACTGATTGCTTGAGTTACTCAAAGTAGTTCACTGATTGGCTAAACTCTCTGCCCAGCCACCAGGGGTCCCCCTGATTCTGTTTCCCCAGCACAAATATCATAGATGAGCACCACCATGCCTGTTTTTTTATGTGGGCTATGAGGTTGCAACCTCCTATGTTTGCACCGTAAGCATTTCAGCAATCCATCCATCTCCCCACTCCTACATGCTTCTTACCTGAGGGTTTTTTTTTTAACTCTTCAGAACCCATTTTAAATATGATGCTTTAGTGAGTTAACTACTTTTTCACATTCACAATAAATACACTAATTGACTGTGTGTGTGCTCAGTTCTCTTCTATCATGTGGATGCCAAGGACTGAACTCAGGTCAATCAGGCTTGGCAGTAAAGGCCTGTACTTTATTTTGGTGCTGGAGACTGAAGACAGGACTCTCACACGCTAGGCAAGTGCTCTACCACTAAGTTATACTCTCAGTACAATCTGAACATTTCACTGGATTCTTGAGCAGGATCTCCAATGTTGTTCTAGCTGGCTAGGAATGGACTATAAAGACCAGGCTGGGGGGGGGGGGGCTGGAGAGATGGCTCAGGGGTTAAGAGCACTGGCTGCTCTTCCAGAGGTCCTGAGTTCAATTCCCAGCACCCACATGGTGGCTCACACCCATCTGTAATGAGATCTGGTGCCCTTTTCTGCCTGTAGGCATAGCATACCTGCAGACAGAACACTCTATACATAATAAATATTAAAAAAAAAAAAGACCAGGCTGGCTGGGGGGTGGTGGCGCACGCCTTTAATCCCAGCACTCGGGAGGCAGAGGCAGGCGGATCTCTGTGAGTTCGAGACCAGCCTCGTCTACAAAGCTAGTTCCAGGACAGGCTCCAAAGCCACAGAGAAACCCTGTCTCGAAAAAACAAAACAAACAAACAAACAAAAAAAAAAACTGTCTTAAAAACAAACAAAAAAACAAAAAATAGACCAGGCTGGCTGGCCCAGAACTGGGGACAATCTCCCTGCCTCTGCTCTGCTTCCCAAGCACTGGAATTACGTGTCATCATGTCTGGGGGAACTTTTTTTAAAAAAAATGTGCATTGGTGTTTTGCCATGGGTGTCTGGTTCCCTGGAATTGGAGTCATAGACAGCTGTGGACTGCCATGTGGGTGCTGGGAATTGAACTCGGGTCCTCTGGAAGAGCAGGCAGTGCTTCTAACTGCTGAGCCATCTCTCCATCCTGCTTGAGTGGATTTTACTTTTTGTTTGAGATAGGGTGGCGCACTCCTTTAATCCCAGAACTCGGAAGGCAGAGGCAGGTGAATCCCTGTAAGTTCAAGGCCAACCTGGTTTACAAGAGCTAGTTCCAGGACAGGTAGGACTGTTGCTGGCCTCGAACTCACAGAGATCCATCTGCCTCTGCCTCCTGAGTGCTGGGATTAAAGGCATGTGCCACCACCACCCAGCTGCATATATTTTAAAAAATAACAATAGTACTACAATTTGAAACAAATATGGTTTCATATAGCCCAGGCTGACCTCAAACTCACTATGTAGTAAAGAATGACCTTAACTGTTTTCGTTTTTTGAGACAGGGTCTCACTATATAGCCTTGACTTGACTGGAATTCACAGAGCTTCCCCTGCCTCCACCTCCCAAACGCTGGGATTATAGGTGTTTTTTTTGCAGTGTGGGGAAAGAACCCAAGGTCTTTGTGCGGTCAGGCAAGCAGCCTACTAACCGAGCTGCACCCCAACCCCTAATTTCATCTGTCTAATACGTCTGTCTCTGTGTTTATACCATAAGACTCATTAAGGCAGTAATTTCATCTTACTTATGTCTATCCTCAGAGTTCTAATTTAGATTCTGGAACAAAGAAAGCCCCAGGTCTGTGTTTGTCTGGCTATTTAGCCTATGCGGATCTGAACTGCTTTGTAGTCCAGGATACCTTCAATTTAAAATCCTCCTGCCTCAGTGCTGGGATCATAGCTGCGCCTAAGTACACCTGACTGCCCAGTTGTTGACTAAATTAGGCACGGGCCATCAAGAGAGAAAGTTACCCCCCCCCCCCCCCCCCCCCCGCGCTGTATTCAAGCAGTCATTCCAGGGAGAAAGAAACCCACCTCACCTGAACATGCATGCATAGCCCTCCAAAAAGCAGCAGCACTGCAGCGTGGACCAGGTACACAAACACCTTTGGACTGAGGAAGCCAGGATGGGACTTCTCTAGGGTCTTACTATCCTTGCATCTTTGTAGCCCAAGTGTAAGGCAGAGCCGAGGGTGGGTGGTCACATATGTCCAGGTTGCCCACACAACCAGTACAGTTACTGGTGCAGCTAGTAGAAAATTGGGCACCTGCCTGAACTCATAGTATCGCAGAAGGCCAACATTCCAGTAGACATCCTGGATATAGCTGTATATTAGGGGAAGCTCCCAGGAGCACCATGGGGGCTCATTTTCTCCTGTAATCCGGTAGCCTTTGTCCACAGCTAACTGTACCAGAGGCTCAGGAATGGAGTGGGCAGAGCCTGGCAGGCAGAACTGGGTATAAGCATAATACTGAAAGAGAGCAAAGGGAAGGCTGACAGTGAGTGTGGACAGGCAGAGAGAGGCCATCAGCTTGACGAGCTGTTTCAGCGGGTTCAGCACCACAAGAGAAGAGAAAAAGCCTCTGCACTGAGAATGCAGGAGGAAGCCAACACTGACCAACCCATTGGAGCGCACCCCAGTGGCAAGAGCAAAGAGCAGCCCACTTGCCCAGCTCCGGCCCCTCTCCAGCTGCCCCATGGCGCTGAAAGTCAGGAAGGCAAACAAAGCTTCTGAGTAACCAGCTGCTAAGAAAACATTGGCGGGGCTGAGGCAGAAGAGCATGGCTGCATAAAAGGCCTGGCGAGGACAGTGCAAAACCAGACAACCCAAATCATGAAGTGTGAGTGCAGCCAGCACAGAGAATAGGAAGTTAAGAAGTGCTACTGAGAGCAGCAGGCAACTGCGCTGGCTCAAGAAGCCCTGCAAAGGTCGCAGCAGTTCAGTTCCCATCAGCAGGGCCAAGGGGAAACCAGGGAAGAAGGCAAAGTTGTGTTCATAAAGGTAGCCGTGCTCAGCAATAAACAGGAAGTGTTCTGCATCCCATCGAGATAGACCACCCAGGAGACCTTCCACAAGCTGATCCACAGAGCCCGAGGGGGCCAGGCGGGGAGGAGAAAAGGCATCAGCGTGGTGATCTGGGATGATGACATTGAAGAGTGCCTGTGGGGTGAAGGAGAACCAGGGTGTTGGTAAGTAACTGGAAGGAAAGAATTACCATTCAATAAAAAGGGAAAACTGACTTGATGGTATGGGGTGTGTGTGTGTGTGTGTGTGTGCGCATGTGTATAAGGAGCTCCAATGCTAACTAGTTAATCTAGCACAGAGGTCAACCAAGCAGGAAAGATGCCTGAGTCTACAAATGAGAAGTCAGATCAGAATTCATATAAACTGGAAATGGAATAGGGATGGTACTCCCAGGTGTGAGAATGAAGGAGCCTGCCTGGGAAGGAAGGAGATCCTGAGATGGAGCTCATCAAGGATGAGGATGGAGTCCTCCTGGCAAGGAGATAAGGATCCAGCAAGGAAGAAAGCAGGAAGCCAAACAAACTGGCATAAACCTTGAATCTCTAAACTCAGGAGCTAGAGGCAGGCAGGTTATCTGTGGATTCCAGGCCAGCCTCATCTACACAGTGAGTTCCAGGAACAGTGAATAATGGTGAGCTATGGGAAGCCCAGGTCTTAGAGAACAGTGTCTTAGAACCATGTGAAAACCAGGACTGAGAAACTGTTGGATGCTGTTGACAGGCCCCAAGTAAGACAGGAACCAAAAACCGATCACAGACTTCAACAATGAGAAGGTCACTAGTGACTGAGTAGAGCTACTTCAGTGAACAGAGGGGAGCAGCCACCGAGCTAACTGAAGCAGAAAGGAGTTTCAGATGCAGTCGGGGGCTCAAACTTGAAACAGAGCTGAGAATGACCTTGAATTTGATCTTTCCGTGCTGCACGTCCAGTGCTTGTTACAGATGTGAGTCACCATGCTTGGTGTGTGTGTGGGGGGGGGGCGATGAGAGATCAGTGTTTGCTGTCACTGGAATAAGTCAGTGAAAAGAAACCACTGAACAGGAGGGAGGCTGGAAGGAACTCTGGGCAGGGAACAGGGGTAGCACCTACTGGACAGAAGAGGGGAGAGAGCTCAATCCACTTTCACCAGTGAACTCACAGACACATGTAGGTAGGCTATGGGATGTGGCACTCAGATTTTCCTGAGTTTTTATGCAGAAATGCGAATTCCTACTTGACGGCACCAGGAAAATCTGTTATAGATGTGTAAAGAGCCTGCAGAGACAGCTTGTGGGAGGTTCTCTTTCCACCACATGGAACACAGGGACCAAAGTCAGGTTATCGGGTTTGGAGACATGTGGCTGCCCTCTGAGCCATCCTGCTAGCCCCGGGGATTGAATTTTTAAAGTTTTCATTTTTATGTATGTTCATGTGTGTGTGGCAGAATATAAAATCCAGCGCCTCACACATGCTAAGTACAAATTCTACCATTGAGCTCCATCTCCATCCAACACTGCATTTTTTAAAAAGTCCCCCAGGTAACTGTGATGTGCAAAAAACATTTGAGAGAACAGAAGGGTGAGTGGGATATGGAAATTCATCAAGATTTCCAGGTGGTATTAATGGCTCACTTAATCTTGTATTTAAAAAAGGCTAGATACAGGACAAGCTCCAAAGCCACAGAGAAACCCTGTCTCGAAAAACCAAAAATAAAAAAAAAAAATAAAAAAGGCTAGTTAATATACTTGCATTTTTTAAAAAATGGGTAGTGTAGACACAAAGAAGGAAGACCACTATGTTCACCAAGACTCGACTTTTGTCTTATGTATAAAACAGGGATAATGGAAGAAGAGAGTTGCATGTACGCATAGGAATGAACACCACGAAAGGAATAGATTCAGCTTAGGAAGAGGAAGCTGAAGGCTAGTGGGCAAAGGCCAAAGAAACATGGTAGGTTCCATGGATCACAAAGCCAGAGAACGTTACGGAAGGTCTGAGGAACAGGAATGAACAGCAGAGAAAAGAGAGACAGTGGCCAGAGAACCGAGAGAAGCCTTGACAGACTCTTGGGCAGGGGTTGGCTATGGAGCACCACTACAGAGAGGTGGAGACAAGGTCCCTGAAAGGAAGTGGGACGATGACCTGAGGATCAGGGTGCTGACCATATCATCCTCTTACTACTGAAACCACAGATGTCAACAGAAAACAGAATGCACGTGAATCGGGAGTCAAAGCCTTCACTGACAGAGACGCGGCAACAGTGGCAGTATCTAGGGATAGAATCTGCTAGCATGAGCTTTAGAGCTGGAAGGGGCGAGGAGAGAGAGTGAAATCCAATTTATTGTTAATGTCTTTCTCTGCCTCATTAGGTTGTCAGTTACTTGAAGGAAAACATGACCTTTCACTCATAATTTAGCACAGTTTTGGGAATAGGTACTTACTATAATTTTGGTGGCTGAGCTTCAGGGATTTGAGGAAATATACTGTTTCCAAAATCCCGCTGAACGAGAACGCAGCTGTCCTGGCTCCCTACCCCAGATGCTGACTTGCTGCACTGCTCCTTTGGCTCTGCCAGGAACTCAGCTGATGCTGGTCCAGAGCCATCACTGAGTCAGGCTCCCCAGCCTAGCAATAAGAGCACTGCCCAATTAAAGGCTCATTCTCTTTTTGGTCAGTTTCTTTCTTTTCTTTTCTTTCTTTCTCCCCCACCCCCACCTTTTTATTTTTGTTTTTCCAAGATAGGGTTTCTCAGTGTAGCTTTGGCTGTCCAGGAATTCACTCAGTAGATGAGACTGGCCTGACTCACAGAGATCTGTCTGAGAGCTGGGATTAGAGGTGTGCGCCACCACTGCCTGACTCTTTGGTCAGTTTCTTCATCAGACCACTACAAACAGTGGAAAGAAATGGGATAGGGGTGACAATCACAGGTAAGAGCACAGCCTTCAGGCGAACCTGAAGTGCTTCATTTAATAAGGAGGAATAATTCAGAGCTAGAAGCTCAGAGGGAGGAAAGAAAATGTTTCTACAAAGGAAGCAGTTAGGAGCCCCAGATATGGATGATAAAGAAATATATATCATGGGTTAGAAAGATAGTTCAGTGGTTAAGAGCATTGACTGCTCTTCCAGAGATCCTGAGTTCAATCCCCAGCAACCACATGGTGGCTTACAACCATTTACAATGAGATCTGATGCCTTCTTCTGGCATGCAGGCATACAAGCAGACAGAGCAGTGTATATAATAAATAAAATAAATCTTAAAAAAATACACATCATTATATCAATACAGTAACTCTAAGGTGTTGACAATGATCATAAACTCATAGACCTGCCGGACGCCAGTGGTGGCGCACGCCTTTAATCCCATAACTTGGGAGGCAGAGGCAGGCGGATCTCTGTGAGTTTGAGGCCAGCCTGGTCTACAAGAGGTTGTTTCCAGGATAGGCTTCAAAGCTACAGAGAAACCCTGTCTCAAAAAACAAACAAACAAAAAACAAAAAAACTCATAGACCTACCAAGCATAAAGCACTAGACCTACCAAGTATAAAACACTAAGCTAGGCACCAAATAATTCATATATATGTGACTTTGATTAAAGTATGTATCAAGGCAGACTAGGGAAAAGGGTGACAAAGGGCAAATATACTCAGAACTGAGTGGCTAGGATAGCAAGTGGGGAACCATTCCTGACGAATATTTATAGACAGTCTCAGAACTTTGGAAGGGCTTCCTCTCTCCCAGTCCACTAACACAGTGCTCAGGCTCCAAGTCAGGGTGCCCTAGCAACACCCTGAGCTGTCACAAACACCTCAAAGTATCTCTGTTGGTGAGACCATCAGATAAATAAAGTCTGTGAGAAAACTTCTAGTTTAGGTAGGAGTTAGGGAGCCTGGGGTCCAACTCTAGCCCTTTTTCTTGCTACATAGCTTAACATGTCTGGTTCACATGTAAGACACAGGTTAATACCACTACTAAGGCTCTTGCCCTCTTTTCAGCTGCCAGGTCTAAGTCTGTCTGGGTCCAACCACATGAAGAGGCACAGCAGGAAGTGGAGAGGTGAGGACCATTTATTCTTCATTACTACTCAGTCATAAGGCAACAGCATGTTCAGAGCAGGTGTCGGAGACTGACCTGTAGCGTTAGGGTCAGGATGCGACAGCTGACTGCAAATCTCAGCACCTCTTTCTGGGATGGGTCCAGGGGCAACATCCTCTCGCCACATCTGAGCTTCCTCAGGCTTCTAAACTCTAACACCCAAGGAAGAAAATGTCACACATGGGCTGAAAGAAAATAAATAACATTTTCTTCACAGGAGCCACCCCCTTCAGCACTGTACGACAACATAACCATCTGACTTCCCAGAGGGAGACTATCTTGAAAGCAGATGGATCACTGGGTGTCACTCTGAGAAACACTGTATTCTAGTATTCAGGTAATTTCTATACAGATAAGCAAGAAGCTGAAAAGTTAAGTGCCCAGAAGTTTTAAAAGCCTGTTGAATGCTTTTATATAGGAGTCAAGTCCCAACTCTGTCACTGGCAAGTTCTCATTTAGTCCCTCTGAGATTCCTTTATATGTACAATGAGGTAAGACTATCCCCACCCACTCCCAGCTCCCAAATCCGTCACATGGCAAAGCGGACTAAACTAAAAGTGCCACACAAACCAATGCTGTGGCTGCTATTATTTGGCATGTGCCCTTTCCCTCTTGCCCAGAATAATAAACTAATTCCCAAACCAGAGTCCCCAGAGTGGGGCACAGAACCATCCTAGAAGCCTGTAATAACTCCACATGCCAGCGCAGCTCTGTGATGTGTGTTCAGCTGGTCTGTTAAATTAAGTGGAGAAGGGAAAGGAAACCGCTGCTCGGCAGGACTTCAGCCAGCTCCCATTGCTAAAACAAACTTAGGGCAAGACAGAGTCTACCACCAGGGAAGGAGTAAACGGCTATTTCCCATCTCCACAGGGGTGGCAACAACGTACAAAAACCAAAGCTATTACCAGACACAGAATGCACGTCAAGGCATTTTCTTTTCTTTTTCTTCCTTCCTTTTTTTTTTCCTTTTTTGTTTTTAAGCAGTCATGGCTCCTACAGTGTTAAAGCAAGAACCACAAACCTCCTTTTTCTTCTCTCAGGTGGCTAACACCTCCCAAACTTTTAGGTTCCACTTGCTTTCTGCAATGTTCTGATTCTCACCAGCGCCCGCTCACTACGCTCTCACAGCCTCCTCACAGCCTCTTGCCCTGACACACCACTGTCTGTTCTGTATGAGGGCAGGGAAGGCCCGAAGTGTAGTCCCGGGAAGAGCAGGGAAACTGACATTTATACATCTGTTTTGAACGACAGGAGGGACGCAGCATGGCCAGTTCTCTGACTCTAGATCTAAATATCACCGGTCCAGATATTCCTCCCGTCACAGGTCATGTTAAAAAACAAGATGGGCCAACATGTAAGGGCACTTGCCACCAGAGTGACCCACAAAACTGAAGGAGAGAAGGCATTCCCCCACGCTGTCCTCTCCCACCTCCTCACACGGGTATGCCATGGCACACGTCTAGCCACACACATATACACAAACAAAAGCACACAAAATAACAATTAAAACAAACAAAGCAAAGCAAATGACAAAGTCACAGAAGCCATGGGAGAAAATAAAATCCTCCGCCAAGGGAACAGGACTGGCTAGCGGCGACAGTACTTCTAGGTTGGCACAAGGGGGCACCTAATGCTTGCTTCATCACCAGGAGGCCAGGGGAAAAGGAGGGCCCCTCTCAACTCCGCATCGCTTTACCCGGGGAAGTTCAGTTAGAGTTAAGCTTCTGAACTGCCCCCGTAAGGAGTACTTTTCTGACTGCACATGTATCTCCAACACTAGATTCACTAAACCAAAGAAATCACAGAAACACGCACACCCAATCTCTTCTGTCCTAGGATAAATGCATTTTTTTTTCTTCACCGGCCTCCCCACTTGCACGCGCAAGGGAGGCAGGGAACAGAAAAGTACTGAATTCACCTCTTCCTCTTTTAAACCCTGGCCTCAGTGGCCACAGGAGATGCAACCCACACTTAATTTTCGATCAAACCAAGTAAAATCAGGAGTCAATTATTCCTCTAGCTATTTGCCAATATCCGTTTGAAATAAGTCCCTCGCCAAATCACTCTTAACTGGTAGGACGCTTAGAACCAACAAGTTTCATTCTTTAATTTTCCCGTGAGACAGACTTTGGAGATCTCATTAGACACTAGCTGGCCGGTATATGATTACCACTGCCATTTTATGGATATGAAAACTGAGGCTCACTGGAGCCACGTGACACACCCACTACTTTTAAAGTTTCTCATGCACTGCTTCCAAAGTCATGAGCGCGTTCTGCCACAAACACAAAGGGTCTGCATTCCTTTCCAGCCAGGACAACCCAGGTCTCCAACACCTAGCCCAGTACTTCTTCCGAAGATAGCGCATGTTGCTGCTGGAAGCTTATGGTGATGGGCCCTATCTGGGAAAGCCTGTTCAACTGGAGCCCTGGCCTCTCCAGGCAAGGTTAACATCTCGGTGGGGTGATGCGCTCTGACCAGGGTGCTCGGGGACAGAGGCCTCGCGGAGCGCACGGCCTCCTTCTACTAAGCCCCGCGGGGCCGGCAGCCCGTTCCAGCCTGTTCTTTTCGGACACACTTCCTACCCGGGACGGGGTACTGACCCTCAACCCAAGGCAGCCACGGCCCAGGACTTCGTCCCGAGGGAACTGCAGGGCCGGGCCGGGCAACGGGGCCGGAAGCAGACGAGGGCCGGAGGCCGCAAAGGAAGAGGCGGCGCCGGGGGCCGCTATGGCGGAGGGGCGGGGCTCCTCGCGGCTCTACAGCCTCCGCCTAATTTCTCTCGGCCTCCGTTTGACAGCTTCCCTCCCTGGAGAACTCCAGAGCTCCAGAGCTGGCGTCGGGTCCTCCGTGCCCGCGCGTCCAGACCACCCCCGCCGAGCTCCAACCTCAGCACCTCCATCCGGGTCCCGGGTGTCCTGCGCCTGCGCGCTGGCTCCGCCGACGGCGGCCCCGCCCAGCTCCTGCCCGGACTCGGAGCGCCCCGCCTCCCTGCTCGGCGGCCATGTTGACCCCGGCTGGGGCGGGGGCCCGAGGGTGTGCGTCGCCCCTTCCCGGCGTGGTGACACCTGAGGAGTCTGCCTCTCGCTCGCCGTCAGCGTGTGCGCGGCGTCGCGCTCTCAGCAGCTCTCGCGCCCCAGTCCCATCCCGCTGTGGGCCAAGGCTGGACCGGGTGCTACCCCAGGCCTGACCAGCGCAGCGGGAGCCGCATGTTCTCTCCTGTCCCGCCACACCAGCTCAGCACAGGACCTGGCACACATTACACAGTATGAATAGGCCAGAGACACCCCTTGTGGGTTTTTTTGTGGCAAGCAGCGATACCCAGCGCCTGGGCGCAAAGAAAGTGGGGGATCCCCCCTGACTTTCCCTTCCTCTGGCTATGGAGGACCTCTGCCCAGCTTCAGTTCTCAGCCCCACCTCGGGTGGCTGCAGAGAACGAGGAAGGAAACCTCAGAGAACACCCCCGAGGACTCCTCCCTCAAGCAGTTTCTGTCGTAGGAAGTGGCGCCAAAAGCAGAAAAAAAGGAAGCTAATTCAACAAAACCGTCTGTTGGGGAGGAGCGGCCAGTTGGTACCCATGTAACGGAAACTGTTAGAACGACTTTACACCCTCCCCAAAGGAAATAGATAATAAATTCTTCTCCGTTGGATTTCTTGTTTCTCAGGATTCCAAAGCCGCCTGTGGTTTCAGTTATCTGTCCTCTCAACGTAGTTTGGGTCTGGGTTAACCTCTGGCCACAACCCTGGCTGAGGGAGGGGTTTATCTTCTGCAACAGCCACTAATGTGGGTGGGAACAAAGAGATGGTGGCTCTCTCTCCCAGCAAAGAAAACTAGCCCACGTCAGTTCGGTGGAGGCTCAGGAGCTGTATCATTTCAGAACCGGGACTTAAAACTGCCCCCTCCGCTATCTGTAAAGTGAATAAGGCATAAAGCACATTTTAGTGGTTGGTGAAGAGAAAAAAGGAGTTTACAAAGTCATTCTTCCAGGTTTTTCAGCGTAGAAACAGCGCCTTGGTTGCAGTAGCGTGAGTGAAATGGCATTGCCTCTCTGGGCACACTGTTGACTAGGGCCCAAGGTTGTGACTTGAATCTCTAGAGGCTCCCGCCGCAGCGCTCTCTTTCAAGGCAAAACAGAGAAATCAGCTGCTCTTGTTGTGTGAACTCATGGGGGAAATGCTCAAGGCTCTGTCTGTCCATGTCAGTTCCCTCAGAATCCACGTGTAAAAGAGGCAAGGGTCCTCTTGTGAGCAGTGAGACTGTTTGCTGAAATACCCTTTGGGGTAGAACTTTGACTAGCTCTTCGGTTGCACTTGGCTGCAATTTTCCCTTCCCTCCTTCCTCTTCCCCTTCCTCCTTTCCTCCTTTCCTTCGTCCCTTCCTCCCTCCCTCCCTCCCTCCTTCCTTCCCAGCTACCAACCCCTCCTCTTCTGCTCTGTTTCCCGGTTCATTTTCTGGCTTCTGCTCCTACAGGAAAACAAGGAAGCTGAATGTTGTGCTTGCAAAGCCCCAACAACGACACCGAGGTGGCAGGATGGCAAGGGAGGGTTGTGGGGCTCCAAGGCTGTGTGAAAGGTGAAAGAGGCAGCTCCTCCACCGTTTGCCTTCACAGTCTGCGGTTAAAATGGAGCCTGCAGCAACACAGCCAGCTGAACCAAGAACTAGAGAGGGCAAGGGAGCCAGCCAGCCAAGTCCCTGGGCTCTAGAAAGACTACACCTCTCACCTTGCATTAAAAAGGAAATACCTGACACCATCTGGGAACAGTTTCACAATACAGTTTCCTAAGCTCATCAATGCCGCTATTTCTAGAATCTTAAAAGGCAAGAGGATGACATCATTTTTGTTCTTTGAACTTTCCTGCCTCTCGGTATTTGCTGATCTTTTTATGTTTATTTTTCTTCTTATTATTTTGCTTGAAACATTATCACATCAGACCATCCTTTGGCTTCAGAGACAAAGTATATCCATCCACATCCACCGCCCTGTTGAATGTCACTTACTTAATGATTTGACCCTGTCCGTGTCACTCCAGTACCTGCTTTCCTCTTTAGGAATATTAACTTCTGAAATAGAATGGAAGACCAGGGCAATCTCTCAGCCAAGTTATTAGAGCACTTGTTGGGGACAGAGCGCTTGTCCTAGACTCAATCCCTAGCTCTACAGAAACAGTTTTGTGTACGAGGAATGAATCAATTTAACCTGAGGCCATATTTTATACACCAAATCAAGGCATACCAAAGGAAGTGCCCAAGGTCACACATGTCTTGAATTCAGGTCCCAGCCTTCCAAGCTGGCTCTGTTAGTATTATTATTGAGACAAAAGTCTTGCTATGTAGCCTAGGCTGGCTTCAAACTTATGATCCTCTCTGCTTCAGCCTCCTGAGGGCTGAGATTACTTACATGTGTGAGGCACCATGCCCAACTACTTAATGTTGCTGTAATTGTTCCCAAGTTTCTGCTTTCTATCTCCCTGGCTAAGTTTCTTTAGGAACTATTTATATCCTATATAAGGTACATCAAGTCCTACTATTACCTACCGTCTCTTTCTTCCATTGGGTCCATACCACAGGCAATGAGGAAGTACCACTGAGGAAGATGTGTTCATAAACTGTTGCCCTCAAGTGATTTATGAAGTGATTAGCAGAAAATTCTCTTTAAAGACAGACTGATCCAAGCCCATGTCCAAATAATAGTTGACCCGCTGAAGATGGAGAGAAGTCAGGCTCACCTCCCTGAAGCATTCTGACAATGTATTCCTCCTCGTAGCTTCCTGACCTTGTTCCTGCCTCCACCCGAGATGCCCGGGCTGGGCTCAGAACGGCCCAGGGTACGTATCTGCTCGCTCTAGTTGTACTTCCAGGCATTCCATTCTCCAAAGCAAGCTGGGCAGTGGTGGCGCACGCCTTTGAGCCCAACACTCAGGAGGCAGAGACAGGCAGATCTCTGGGAGTTTGAGGCCAGCCTGCTCTACAGAGTGAGTTCCAGGACAGCCAGGGCTGTTACACAGAGAAACCCTGTCTGGAAAAATCAAAAAAACAAAAAAAAAACCAACTTTCCAAAGTCACCTCCTTCCTATGGAATTACAGTAGCTGACCCTGACCTGGGAGACCAGATCAGAAGCCACACCATTGCAATGAAAGTGACCATAATGCCCTGATTCCTGATCATCAGCTGCCAGGGGCGAGGCTAAAGATCACGACGAGCCTTTCAGGAACTTTGATACATCTCCTCACTGTACGTACAACCATCAGAAAGTGCCCGGTGACACTTTCCAAGGATCCTGGGCGGTATTTACAGCCATCCTGACCTCTGAAATGACACTAATTAGGTCCTGGACAATTACCAAAAGTATCCTGTTTGACCTCTGCCATGTCACTTAAAGATGCTCACCCACCCCAGGTTACAAAGGCTCTTCCGTTTCCAGTTATGGGTGCCAAACACTGACGCTTCAAAAACCATGGACGTATTACAAAAACAGGGCCTTCAGTGTTTGCCGTTCAATAGTTAGAAACCTTGATTCCACTGAGAAGCCTGGTGGGAAGGCCTTAGTTCCTTGGGGGTGGCAGTGGCTGCCAAGCAAAAGAGCCAATCAGCTTCAGAGTATTGTTTAGGCTGGACTTGGCTGCTGTCCAGCTCTGAAAGAAGGTTAAGGTCATTTGGGGGTGGGGTGGGGGAGGGAGGAGCCTGGGAAAAGAACTACTGGCCACACCCGGGGTTCTCTACTGGCCAGGTTCTGTTTACTTCTCAAAGGCCAATTACTCCCAGCTCAGTGGTCAGCAGTTCTCTTGGCCAGTGGTTAAGGCCAATCAGAAACTGGAGACTGGGCTAGGCTGTCCCGGAATTGCAAGAGAGCAGATTAAAGAAACCCAGGAAACAGAACTCCTCGGTAATGCTCCACACACAGCCCAGAAATGCACTTTCTGGGTGGCAAAGTGCGAGTTCAAGGCCCATAGCAAAAATAACGGTTAGAGTATTACTAAGTAAAATAAAGATATGAAACGCAGCCCCTTTGGTTTTTATCAGAAACCATCTTGGTTGACAAAGACGTTTTTTTCTCGGTTAGTACTAATTTGCTATTTCTGTCCCTGACTCAAATATTAACAGCCACGCCAAGTTCGATGAGTGCTTGACTAAAATTCTTTTGCCTCATGCCAAGCACACTAGAAACCACTCCCGGAAGCCTGCTGTGGATGAAGTAAGTGTGGCGTGGTACTGAGAACTTGGGCCCTGGTCAGGTGGGTCTTGTTTTACATATGAAAGGGAACCACTGCATTTACCTTGGAGACACAGGGCTGCTGGAGGATTATTTGCAACATATTTTGTTCAGCAGACAAGTATCCAACAAAAAACCACCTTAGACTTCACTTATGTGAATCATATTTTGTTAGTATCTGTGATTTCTCTAGAAAAAAAAATCTGAACTTTTTCTTCTCTTTCCTAAGCTTTGGAAGGGATGATATGAATAGAGAGAGATGAACAGAAAGGGGATATTGCAATATTGACCTAAAAGCAACTGTATCTACCACTATGATGCCTTTTTTTTTTTTTTTTTTTTTTTGGTTTTTCGAGACAGGGTTTCTCTGTGGCTTTGGAGCCTGTCCTGGAACTAGCTCTGTAGACCAGGGTGGTCTTGAACTCACAGAGATCCGCCTGCCTCTGCCTCCTGAGTGCTGGGATTAAAGGCGTGCGCCACCATCGCCCGGCACTATGATGCCTCTTGACTAGTTATTAAGTAGATATCGTGTGCCAGGATGCATGTCAGAAAGGGATGGAGCAGTGATCCTCACACACTGTTCACATTCCAGTGGATAAAATCACAATAGGCCAGATGCTAACAAGAGCTAAGACAAGCAAGAAGGAAGGGACCTAAGTCAGCAAGGGAAGATTGAGCTGAAACTCAGATCCACCTGCCTCTGCCTCCCAAATTCTGGGATTAAAGTTAAAGGTGAACGATTACCGTTGCTCCGGCTTTTTTTTTTTTTTTTTGCTTTTTCGAGACAGGGTTTCTCTGTGGCTTTGGAGCCTGTCCTGGAACTAGCTCTGTAGACCAGGCTGGTCTCGAACTCACAGAGATCCACCTGCCTCTGTCTCCCGAGTGCTGGGATTAAAGGCGTGCGCCACCATCGCCCGGCTTCGTTTTTTCTTGACATTTTAAAAAAGTATGTGTTAAATTTTGCCTGCATGTGTGTGCCTGGTGCTAGTAGAGGCCAGGCGAGGGCATCAGATTCCCTGGGATTGTGGTTACAAACGGCACTGAGCGGCCATGTGGGTGCTGGTGCTCTTAACTTCTGGTTCCTGGTAACCATGTTGGTCAGTGCCCAACTGCCTGCAACTCCAGGGAATCCAAAATTCTCTTCTGGATCTTTAACCCTTGAGCCTTTCCCTACTTCCCAACCACTTCAGACCACAATTTCAATTGAGGTAGCTAATACAAGGTCACACAGCAAGTTTGAGGCCTGAGCTACATGAGATTTTGTCTCAGAATCAAAGTAAACCAGGTGCTAAGGAATATAGGAATATGTATACCTCTATGTGTTCTTTTGCATGTGGCGGTCAGAAAAAGCAGGGGAGAAGGTTCTCTCCAAGCATGTGGGTCCTGGGGAGTCGGAGGCTATTACAAGCTGAGCCATCTCGCGAGGCCCCACTCTTTTGGGGAGGTTGAACTACCTCAAAGCCTTGGACACATTAGGCTCGTGTTCTAGCACTGAGATTTAAACAAAGATCACAAGACTTTGGTAGCATGAGCCAGCAGTCATCTGCTTGGAGTTGGCCCTGTGGAGGGAGGGAAGGGCATCTCCACAGTAGACAGTCTGGGGAAAGTGGAGCACTAGAGAGGTGGCCGCCAGGTAATGAGCAAGACAGTCTCATGCCAGAAAGGTTTGGGATTTCTTTTCCTTCTTGGTTTTTCCAGATAGGGTTTGTCTTGTGTAACAGTTCTGGTTGTCATGGAATTCACTTTGTAGACCAAGCTGCCCTCGAACTCATGAATACTGGGACTAAAGGCAGGCACCACTATGCCCAGCCTTTTTTTATTTTCCCCTAGAAAACAGTCTTAGTATGCAGACCTAGTTGACTTGTAACTCCAGGCAGTCTAACCTCAAACTCACACAGTCACCTGCCTGTGTCTGAGTGCTGAGACTTAGGGTATATGCCATAACACCCAGGGGCTCAGGTTCTTACCGTCTTCAGCATAACAGAACTTTGTTCTGACTTTAAAGGTGGGTGTTATACCCAGGCAAAACACAATAGGGGAGGGTTAAGAATTTGGGAAAGGTTGGGCCATGGTGGCTCAAGCCTTTAATCCCAGACAGGCGGATCTCTGTGAGTTCAAGACAAGCCGGGTCTCTAAGAGCTACTTCCAGGACAGCTAGGGCTGTTGTAGAGAAACCCTGTCTTGAATTTGGAAAAGAAGTGACAGCGTCATGAGCTCAAACTGCAGTGGGAGGACTGAGGATAACTTCCTAGAAGAGTCAAGGGTTGGTTGTGGTAGTGCACACCTTTAGTATCAGAAGGCAGAGAGGAGGCCAGCCTTGTCTATATGAGAGTTCTAGGACAGTGAGGTACAAAATCACGAAAACAACAAAAACAAATGAGTCAAGGAGAGTTTCTAGCCTAACATGTTAGGTCGGACCTGCCATTTACTGCAAAAACTGAGCAAACCAGGCCCTCAAGGGAGCCAGGGCACGTTTCCTCTACACATTCTGCTCAAGTTTTCGGTAGTGGTGCTGAAGTCTGGAGTCAAGAGAAAGGCAAACTGCAATCCAAGTGCTAGAGGCTGCTTCTAGGAAAATGGGTTAGTAACAATTTCTGAAAGAACCTCCCTTTGTCACAGTGGGTGGAGGAGGCCACCACATAACGAGAGCATCTAAGGGGAAGCAGGATCCTGCCAAAGGTCAAGCTCCTATTTATTCTTTCCTGAAGCAGTATGTGACTATATAGTTCTGGCTGTCCTGGAACTACATAGACCAGGCTGGTGTCAAACTCAGAAATCCATCTGCTTCTGCTTCCCAAGTGCTAGGATTAAAGGAGTGTGCTCCTACATGCAGCTATTAGCAAAAGATTTTATGGTTTAATTTTATGTGTATGAGTGTTTTGCCTGCCTGTATGCATTCGCGCCATGTGTGCCTGGGGGTCATGGAGTTCAGAACAGGGTGTTGGATCACTCCTGGAACTGGAGTTACAAAGGTTATAAGCCACCACGTGGGTGCTGAGGGCCAAATCAGGATCTTTGTAAAAGTAAATTCTCACCGGGCGGTGGTGGTGCATGCCTTTAATCCCAGCACTTAGGAGGTAGAGGCAGGAGGATCTTTGTGAGTTCGAGGCTAGCCTGGTCTACAAGAGCTAGTTCCAAAGCAGGCTCCAAAGCTACAGAGAAACCCTGTCTTGAAAACAAAACAACAACAAAAAGTAAGTTCTCTTAGTCACTGAGTCATCTCTCTGGCCCTGGTTAAAGATTTAGTTTTTTTTTTTTCCCCTTTGAACCTGTTCAAAAGATTTAGTTTTTAATTATGTGTGTGAGTTCGCATGTGGGTCTGTGGAGGTGAGTCCAGGTGTCTGGGTCTGTGGATCTGAGTCTAGGCGTCTGTGTGTGGGTCTGTGGATATGAGGTTAGCTGTCTATGGCTCAAGTCAGGTGTCAGATCCCATAGAGTTGGACAGAAGGCTTAAGGTTGTGAGCCACCCAAACATAGGTCTTCTTAACTGCTAAGTCATCTTTTCAGGCATAGGTAAAGTTCTTAAATAATTTGAAAATAAAAAACCCTCACAAAGTCTTACCAAGATTTAATGTACATTTATTCTTAACACGTGGAACATATAGTATAAAGATTTCATACTGAATAAATGATATTCATTAAGCCAAAAAAGGAAAAAAAGGAGGAATTTACATCAAGTTTTTAGCTACATTGTTGAAATACAAATATGCAGATTTTATCACTGAAAAAATCTCAATGTGTTTCTTCATCAGGAACTTCAACTGAACCTAGAACTTTTTCACACCTCGATTAGAAAGGAAACAAAACAAAACAAAAACCCAGAAAAAATAAACTATAAGTTGATTGGCTGCCGAGACAGCAAGGACTTTTTACAGAGACCTGTACAGCATCGCACCAAGGGGGGCGATGTCTGGCAAGAGATTAAATAGCTGTGTCTCGCTTTGTGCAGGTCACCAACTTGTTAACTCGTCATACTATAAAGGGGTGGCTGGGAAGGGGACCAAACTGTGGCGATTCAAGGGTATGTGCAATGTACAACATCATATATATACACACGTGGCAGCGCAGCCGCTGCAGCTAAAGGTTAAAACCAGTTCTAAGAGGTGATCTCAGGGTTATTCATACAATCAAGGAGGAGAGAAAGAGGTCAGGGTGTTGTAGGT